CAGTGGGTTTCCGGTCCAGGTAACGCTGGTACCACGTGTCCACACAAAATGGCCCTTATAGATAGAATATGGCTGGAATATGGCTGGAATATCTCTGGAATATCTCTGGAACCTTTAAATTAAATAATATTTTAAGTCGCAAGTCGCGTATACTAAAAATAACACGTCAACATTGACTACAGTTGCACTTATGGCACACCATACAAAACAGTACCGGTAATTCTAACCGAACAATATTATAATAAAGAAAACGTTAAGAATGCACAACATCTTAACAAAAGTGGTTTTAACTATTAAATCCACAACACCGACTTATAAGCGGCAAAACAAAATAGTCTACGTGCGTACATAACTTAGAACAAAAAATAGAACTATACACGCATGGGTAACTCTACCCAGCAAAACCTGTATACGTAAACAGTGACAAAAACCCTACCTAACTCAAATTCGTACATAACTTTACGTCTTAAATGTAGTACTCAAAACTTATATATGAAATAAAAAACAAACTTACCCCTTATGGAGAAATGGTTACCGTTGATAACTACTTATCTACACATCTTGCGGTACTTCAAGCATGGCATGTAAAAAATCTATGAAAACGTGGACCCCGGCTACTTGGTCAGCTATGCAGCGATTTAAATACCCTCTATACAATATCACCTTATACAACGGGTAACGCGGGGGAGTCGCTAAAAAGTATGGGGGAGTCGTTTTCAGCGTATGGGGGAGTAGATTTTCACCGCTTCGGAGTCGGAAGAGATGTGGGTCACGTCTTTTTTCGGTATTTATAAGATGTATTTACAAAAAACAAATATCCCACGGAAGATGGCAATAGTTAAGCTTTATTTTGGTCATTTGTCCGGCTGTCATAAACGTCTAGTTTTCTCAAACACTTCGAAACTATTTGACAGTTTTCATATTTACGTTGATCGGATGGTAAAAACATGCATGATTTGTACAATCTACGGCTTGTGTAGGGATTTTCACAGTTAAAACAGCGAGAGAAAACGTTTATCTTTTAAATGCAACAACTTAAACTTGATTAGACTTTATAAAAATTTAAAATAATTAAGACATTTTCTCCTCAGACAGTGACGGTTACGTAGGGGGGAGTCGTTTATGGGAAAGCACATCGCAGGGGGAGTCGCAAAATAAAGTCAAATGTATAGTTTGTGTTGTTTTCATCTCTTTTATACTGCCAATACCTTTTTTAGCTCACCTCAACGAAGTTGGGGGAACTTATGTAATATCTCGGCGTCAATGTCGGCGTCGGCGTCCCAGGTAGAGGTTAAGTTTTTTGGAGCAGTTTTCTTTGTACTTCTATGTCCTTTATTGTTTAGACATGAATAGAAGATGGTTCTTGTGTGTTTCATTGTACCACTCAAAGTTTCAGATGCTGTAATTTCAGCCAAGGAATGACCAGGTTAATGTTTTTGGAGTAAGTTAACATTTTTGGTGCAGTTTTTGGTGTAGGTTTCATTTCCAAGTAACTATAAGCCCTACGTTGACCAACTTGCATGGATGATACATCTAAGGATGCATACTACCGGGCTTGCTTCGGATGCTGAATCTGACCTACATTTTGTGAATGAGTGAAAATGTTAGTTTTTGATGATGTTTCATTTCCAATTAACTATGAGCCCTATAATGAGCAAACTTGCATGGATGATAAATCTTAGGATGCACATTAATGGACCTCCTTCGGATGCTGAATTTAACATACATTTTTTCAGATAATAGACCAGGTAAAAGTTATGAGTGCAGGTCTATTACCAAAAAACTATAAGGCTTATATAACATTGTATAAACCAAAATCATAGTGACTATTATTTGCTAATTTGTGTTAATAAAATATAAAATTTGGTTGTCAAACTGTTGTTACCTCCTTTCAACAACCCATTTTTTGCTTGTTAAAATTCAAAATTTTTTAGGTGAGTTGTATGTAATTTTTGTTATACTTTTAAAAATTGTTATATAAATTTATATTAAAAAGAATAACCTTTCTACCGTTTTCTTCAGTCAAATAGTCAAATAAAAAGCTGTTTGACCGAGGAGCGAGATGTTGGACCTTTTGATGAGATAATGTACCGTTTATGTCAAAGTGTGGGCGGGGTCAGCTGTCAGAACTTTACGGAATTGACAGTCTTTAAATGCAGTGAGGATTAACAAAAATTTCATCAAAATAATACCATAATAGACAGTAAAATGTATAACAAAACATTGATCGAATGTGTTCTCTTGATCTGGCAAAATGTGTTTCGTCGAACCCTCGAACAAAACTTTTTGCCTTCGGCCTAACAGTCTCCTGCAAACAGTTTGGTTCTTGGGTCCGACAAAACGCATGTTGCCCTCGAACCCTGTCTATAAATGTATAATATACTGGTTGCCTCAGACTTATTCTGGTACAACCATGTTTTCACGAAACTCTGAAAGAGGGAGGGGTAAAGGGGGTATCATATTCTGAGGAACTGTATATAGCTGGGGAAAGGAAAGGGAGGATATCATGATAATGAAATGTATATACAGAGAAGAAATATTTTCGTATTTCCTCTTTTCAAAGTTTCTGATTAATTATTTTTACATTGTCACTTCTCATTTTATATATCATAGACATACATTTCCAGCGTATTAGGTAATATGCAATTCAGTCCCTTCTTCAGTATTCATCCTGTATATTTACCTATGTGTATTATCCTCAGATTATCCAAATCCAAAATCTTCTCAATTTGACATACTTATTCGTTTGTATCTGAAGATGTGTTTATATGATAAATAAATAAAAAAAAAAATAATTATGAATGTTATTTGTGAACCTAATCGAGAGAATATACCAGTTAAATTTAACCCCCTTCCCAAAGAAAAAGTCAAATGGCGCGTGCAGACGCGTCAGAGACTTGCCTTTTTCTAATTAAAAAAATTGTTGATATTATCAAGAAATTTTCCAAATTATAAATCGGGTTGTTCTTTTTTTATGGAAAGGCTTTCATTGTCGAAAGTTAGGGTTCCTGAATTCGTGGATTGAATTTTTGTGATAAACATGTACGATTACATATTACATATTGAGGGGACAGTCCTGTCTTCAAGCACATGTGCTCCGATGATATTTAATCCAATTGTTCATGCAATCTATATTGTTGATTTTTTTTCTGGAACTGATAAAGCCACAGAATAAATCTCTTTTCGTAACATCAAATTATAAAATAAATAACCAAACACAGATTTATAGATATCTACGAGTAAATTAAAAGGTATTGGCAGTATAAAAGAGATGAAAACAACACAAACTATGCATTTGACTTTATTTTGCGACTCCCCCTGCGATGTGCTTTCCCATAAACGACTCCCCCCTACGTAACCGTCACTGTCTGAGAAGAAAATGTCTTAATTATTGTTTTTTATAAAGTCTAGTCAAGTTTAAGTTGTTGCATTTAAAAGATTAACGTTTTCTCTCGCTGTTTTAACTGTGAAAATCCCTACACAAGCCGTAGATTGTACAAATCATGCATGTTTTTACCATCCGATCAACGTAAATATGAAAACTGTCAAATAGTTTCGAAGTGTTTGAGAAAACTAGACGTTTATGACAGCCGGACAAATGACCAAAATAAAGCTTAACTATTGCCATCTTCCGTGGGAAATTTGTTTTTTGTAAATACATCTTATAAATACCGAAAAAAGACGTGACCCACATCTCTTCCGACTCCGAAGCGGTGAAAATCTACTCCCCCATACGCTGAAAACGACTCCCCCATACTTTTTAGCGACTCCCCCGCGTTACCCGTTGTATACGGTGAATATGTCGTAACTGACCAATGCCTGCAAAACTTAACTTGAGGTTCAATAAAGGTAACAATAAGAAGAGGTCCAGTACAGGGTAAATAAAATAAAAACCATAAACATAATGTAAAAACAATTATAATTAAATATTGATTGTGACAACAACAAACGTGTAGTTAAGCCTAAACACACTTGAGAAAATATCTAATTTGTCTGTTCAATTATGTCTTGTTTTGTGGAAGCTGTTTTCTATAAATTAAATCGATACTATTTAAATCGTACAATCTGATTATGTATTTAAAAAACGGTGCATCAAATTATACATTTATGAAAAGGGCAAAGATAACAAGCAGTGTTCTATCTAATTAACATCCCTTTAATAATCATATCTTAAAGTTTCTGCCTTGTTCAAGAAATTGGTCCTACTTTGAGCAAGCTCTTGTATGAACTAAAATAGGAGATGAAAATTGGTTAGAAAAGAATTGTTAGTTGTACTTGGCTCACTTTGTATGTAGTCAGTAAAACTTTCAGATATGACATAAATGAGGCAGATTCAATGGTATGTTATATTTCAGAGTCTCTTGGATATACCGATTCGAAATATGAATGGAAGAAACTATTGTGAATTCATAACACATCGTCGATACATAATGGCCAGATCAAGTGGTTTCTTTTATATTATTTTTTCTTATGTAACAGTTTTTGAGCAAGTTCCTTCTCATATAGGAATAAAAAAAGACTGCTCATAAAACACTCCTCTTTAAACTTGCTTTTCCTAAAGTATTGTTTTGAATAAGGCAATCTAGCTATATGATGTCGTCTTTGTAAGTTTAACACAAATCTGGTATTTGCAAATGAATCCATTAATTTCTTTCTGTGTTATTTTATACCACATAGTTTATTTTTACAACATTTTTTACTTGGCCTTTATATGTTTTTGCATTATTAGGCAACAGTACTGTGTGAATGACATTCAAAATGCAAATCCTCCATTTCAAGTCCTTGCTTTTTAGACAATATCGAAATTTTGGTTTGTTTTTCTTTGGACATCATATCTGACATCATACATAAAAATGCCAGATTGTTCATTTCCTTCCATTAAGATACCTTTATTTTATTAATTAAAAATAACGATTTTCTACGCAAAGGTACTTGGGACATATGTAATGAAAGGTGCTGTATTTTTTGGTAATTCTTGAATAATAATGGACAAAATATACTTGTGGTTTGCAATACTCATTTTTTATTCCATGCATGATTGCTTTAATGAGAAAACAAACAGTAGAGAATTAAAATCCAAGCAGAGATCGGACGATCCGGGGGGTCTTCATGAATGAAGCTCGTCTGGTAAGGGAACTCTGGGATGATGACGTCACTTCCATAAACTCGTCATAGCAAATTTCTTCGTATCCCGTTTCACGTGCAATCATTTGGAAAACGTCCTGTAGCTCCTCTGCCAGTTCGTTCATGTACTGCAAAAGAGCTCGCAGACCATCATGGTCGCAATAGGCCGAGAGCTTTGTCACAGTCTCACTGATTTTCGACTTCATTTCACTGAAATTGCATGTACTGTGGTATTACTTGTGAATTTTAAGTGAAATTTTTACACATAAGATTAAATAATATCATTCAAATAAATAATGAGAAATATGATAAAATTAAGTAATTACTAACCTGCATACATCAGAATCATTCGTTTTCATTCGAGACAGAAGGGAGAAACCATTAATCAGCAAGTCCTCAAAAAACATTTTTTGGACTTTGTCCATGTTCATACAGTCAATCAATTTGTCCAGTCCTGCAGAGAGTGATATATACACACACAGAGGTGGAATTTGTTCAAACCGTTAAATATGCATATATATTTTTTTCAAGTCAAATAATACTCAAACCTGTATTCTAGAACATTGCGTCTGTTAAAATGTTTATCTATAGATATGTTTTAATTAAACCAATATATGAGATCCTGATCTTACGCTTTTATTGTCCCTGCAGGTTAAAAAATTGGCATATTGGTATCGATATGTGTGTTTTGAAAATGAATGTATCTTGCTTGATCACAATTTGTCTTGGATTATTCTTTCCTTCGTTTACCTATGAAAGTCGGAAGTAAATTGAATTAGATCATTATGTCTCCTCGTAAAAAATACATAAAATTGAGAGAGAAAAGGCATACACTTAATCGAAAATATTTTTTTCTTACCTTTGTTCAGATTATAAGAAAAATAAACCCCAGCAACTAGAATCCCTAATTTATTTTTTAAAAAATTCTAAGAATCATTCTGCTTACTATCGTCTTTGGTACATGCAATGTCATCGTAAGCTTCAAAAAATTCCTTCGCCCTCTGTCGGTACTCTATTGGAATACATGGATCCAACCCCGTAGGTACACAAGCCTTGTACATGTCAAAGTAGCTAAAACGTGATGAGAAGTTCCAACAGGTAAGGCAGTTTTATACTTGTAAAAAGGAAATACCAGTATATGAACTTGATTATTCCAATAACATATTATAATTTAAGTTCTTTGTTTCATATAATATGAGGGTTGTCCGTAAAGTTCGTGGACAGCATTGATAATTTTAAAAACAAACATTGACAAAATATTTGAAACTATTATTTTCATTAAATTCATGTTTCATTTTATAAATATGCAAGTTTTCAACAAAGACAAAGCACAAAAGGTTATAATTTTATCAGATACAAAAAAGACATACACTCATACCCGGAGCACTAAAACGAAAATTTTTGACGTTACCGACATCAAAAGCTAAATACGAGCAGTAGTAACTTTTCTCAACATAGTCAGCGTTTAACTAAATACATTTCTTATGTCGTTTTGACCAGTCATAAAAGTATGCACAAAATGTTCAGGTTTCATTCTTAAAATAATATTTAACAATGCCTGTCTCATATCCTGCAATCATCCAACCACTGTCCGTGTAAAGACGATTTCATTTACGGAAATACGGCATGATCACGTTACGAAATTCATATTCTACAGCACTGCAATCTCGGAATAATGGTTTTTCTTCACGCATGTCATCCTGTAAACTGTTCATTCCTTCCGAAAATATTATATGCCACTTAAATACTAGTGAACGACTTCTTTTACTATGTTTTCCCGATTGTTTACAGAATGTATTGGTCTCTGTAGGTGTCTTTCCCGTGTCAACGCAGAATTTTATCACTGTTCACTGCTCCACTTATTCCGAAAAAGTCTCTTTTTTGAACAATTCCGATCCTGTCTTAATAAATTCTAACGCTGATTGAACTTATTTTAGCCATTTTGAAACTTTGAACGTTCAAATTTTGCAGATTTGACGTGATAACTTTTGTCAACCTCAAAATGTAAAATTCTTTCAGATTTCCAAAGAATTTTTTTAAATACAAATGAAATTTAAAAAGTGATAAATATTTTTTTTAGTTAAAATTTTGCGTTGCTCCGGGTCTCCATTCCAAGTCTAATTATGAAGCCATAATTGTAATTAAACATTTGAAATTGAATAAATTTTTATATTATTCAATTGACATTAAGTAAAGGATTAGAAATATGCCAATCATAAATATCAATGACTCAACTTTTATTAAATTTTTGGCTTGTCCACGAACTTGACGGACAACCCTCGTATTTCCAATAAGTTCCTAACTTGTCTTATGTATTTCACTGTTTCATGTTCGTTACATAAAGGGCGAATTTAAGGACTATGAAAAATAATGGCAAATGGTTTTCTGCTTTTCTGACTGCAAAAGTCGCGGTCACAATATGAATCCATGAACAGGACCTTTCATCTATTAGATATTTATAAAGATATACTCAAAAAACATTCTTCGTTTTTTTTTTCAAACTGCTAAAACACTTAGTTCATTTTTTTTACTTTCATAAAAACATCCCATGATTGAGTGTATTGGGGGGGATAAATACACGAACCACCAGGAAAAGTGAAACTAAATTGCAAATTATGCTACATATATTAACTATTGAAAAAATATTGAATACACACATGCTCAGAATATTCATCAATCCTTTTTTGCATTTAATTTCAAAATGTAAAACTTAATATTGATAGTTACTAGAAGGCAAAAATTGAGATATAGAAAACTACTTTATTAAAATAAGGGTAAACTTGTTTTACAAACCTGCACCCAAAGCTAAAGAGGCCGGGTTTGAAGCGAACGCGCAATCCTTCTGGTCCATTTGTAAAATTTATTCTTTCGCTCAGTTCTTTATTAATATCAATTTTACTGTCCATGCACACTTCAGTAGCACATCTATTATGGGTGGCTAAAGATTAAAAAATAGTATTTTTTATAAGAATGATAATAATACACTTCATTTATTTAGACTTGTTTACTTTATATCTAAAATCGATGAAAAGCTCGCACAATTACGAGATAGAGAGAGAGAGAGAGAGAGAGAGAGAGATAGAAACTCACCTTCATTGAAGCTAAAATAAAATGTAAGTGTGAAGACTATGGTGAACAATTGAAAAGAAACCATTTCGGAAACGAACCTTTGTAGTCCTCCTTCAGTAATACTTCAAAACTTCATGCCCACTTTATAAAATATTATCTATAATTGTTAAATCTGGAATGCGGTGCGAAAAGGGGCCAAATGATCTATTGTTATTGATAATTGGACGATTTGACGGCATCTGTTGCATTAAAGTAATTTTTATATGATTTAAAATTATTATAATGAAATTTAATCTAAACTGTAATAACCCTAATTTTACCGATATACAACTAGGGATATTATATTCTGTAAATTAGATTACAAAAAAGATAGACATTTAACAGTATGTGATTGTGTGTCACCACTTGGTAAACATCAAAATCATTATATTAGAATAGCTATATAAATCGGTCAAAAACTTTACGAATTAAACTTTTTTTTATACGCTTGTTGAAATACATCTACGTGTTACATATTTTATTAAATGGAGAATTGTAATGTTTAGCATTGGAATTCATGGCATTACACTGTATTTTAATCATGTATGTTACATATTATTTCACCACTCTAAAGAAAATTCGAGAATTTCATTACAAAATGGGTACAAGAGGATAACCTTTGTATTTTTTGTTTGGTCATGCTTTTATAGTATCTAAGCCATTGTATCTGAAAGACATGATTCTTAAATATAACAAAATGACAGTATTTGGACATTGTGAGAGCTTGCATACCATGAACATCATATAGAACTGCAGGACAAGAAAATGTGAGCACGGGGATGCTCGAAATGATTCAGTAAAATATGATAATAATAATATGATAATAACAAAATATAATTTTGATTTGGTATATTTTTTCTTCATACATGTAATGTGTTTTGAAGTCCCTGCAAATCTCTGAGCACTTCTTTGTAAAACTGGCCATAGCTTTTGGTCGAACATCTGTCCCCTTTTCCTGCACACTCCTCTCTACGTGCTGCCGTTGATCGATTCCTGACAAGTGCTTACATTGCTAACAATTGACGAAGTTTATATCGTTTGTGTATATATTAATTTGAGGAAGTTTATACTTGCTTTTGCTTCAATCGCTTTGAAAAGTGTAGCTTCTTCAACAAGCTCAAATGAAAACTTACATTATACTGAGTATCATTTTACAGGAATAAAAATTAATACGATATTACAGTGAAGAATTGTTTTTATTTCTTAAAAGAAAATTGTACCCACCTTGTTACATGTAATGTCAGGCATGTGGATCAATTTTCGGGAGTCGTGTTATTATTCTACAAAGCTAGACGTCGGTATGTTAATTTTAACTTAATTTTCAGAGTCAAATATATATATACCGTAGAACAGGTATTTTTACGTGCTTCTAATTCTACTAATTTTTACGAAATTTATAATTCGGTAGAATTTACACGCGTAAAATTCCACAGTAAAAAGTAAAAGGACAGCTCGTGTAAATTTTAAACTTCGTATATATACACTAGACAAAATTGCTAACGCACCACTTATAAATTTTTATTTGTGAATTGAACATTTGCCGGATCGGTTCTGTTGAATATGATATGCCATTATTTCAAAAGCAGAGGGATTGACAAATGTCTTGGCATCATAAAAAAACCCTTGAATGACCTTCTTGTCCAAAAACTAATTTCCAGCTGTGCACTGCGCACCATTTTTGCACAGATCTGAAATTCTTGATCACTAAAGGGGTCTGTGAGATTGCCACAGGAGTAATACTAGTCCCCCTGTTAAAAATAAAATAACTAACGGTCATTGACTTTAATATCTCCTAGTAATCATCTGATACCTTAGTCCATACCAAATCCACTCCACTTTCGGTTGTCCCAGTTTTGTGGAAAAATTTTCAACTTATTGTATCCTGCTAACTTAATGCCGTGGTTTTCTGTAGTTAACATTTTTATGTTTATTTATCTATTTGGAACAATTTTTCGTGAGTGGAATTCATAAGCTTTTTATTGTTTTTAGTTTTTACAGATTTTTCTAAGGGAACCCCATGCAGACGCCATCATGTCTGCTTTTGCACGCTCTTTTAGCGTCAAACGCTGCATACGGTGTAATTTTTTTTCTGAGTTTTCAATTGATACAATTGGAAAGAACACAAATACAAAGACAAAATTGAATTTTTTTTCTTCAAAAATGGAATAGACACGATTTTATCTTATTCTATGAATTGGTCACACTTCAATAAACATTGTAGTTATTTATAGGGTTTGAAATTAATATGCCTTATTTTTTGTTAAAGTAAAATATTTATATATCAAATGCATCATAAACAGGTTTTTAAAAGTAAAATATTAATTCTCTTAGGTGGTGCGTTAGCAATTTTGTCTAGTGTATATATAAGAGTAATGCTAACTGCCATGCTTAGTCCCAGGTGACTAAATACTTAATTTAGCTGCTGACCTGCTGACCAGTCACACCCGCCGTATTACTTATTTAAAATTTCAAAGAATTATCAATATTATTTCATGTTATGATATATGCAAGATTTAAGATTAAAAATAATTATTTCTAAGGTAATTCTCCGATAAAAAAAAACGGATTTTGTTCGTTCTATTAGACAATGTACATGCATGTGGGTTGTATAATTTGATTAAATTGGATATCATTATATGCAGAAAAGGGGATACGATTGAACAAAAATGGCAGCATGTACTTATTTCCATTGATTCAATGTCTGATGAACTTGCCAATGCAGAAATTTAAAATTAATTAATTACAAATAGGCTCAATAACAATGTTATGTATATTTGTCGACTAACTAGTTATGTAGGCATTGAGAAATGTTTATTTCTTTGTAAAAAAAGTATTTATTTTCAATGAATTGATTTCACGATCACCCTGACCATAATAAGAAGCAAATAATAATTAAAATAAGATTTTTCACAAAGGCGATTAAGATCTACATGTAAGTACGTTTTATCACAATATTGATTACGCTATTTGACGAGAACTTAATATTGTACGACTTACTATATTGCTTGTTTACGGGCGATAATTAGTTCGTTCTGCATTCTATGATGTAAATTTCGCTTTTTCATTTTATTTGGATTTTGATTAATAAATTAAGAAAAACAAACAAGGGAAATGCTCATTTTACATGTAACATTCCGATAAAAACTTACAAAACGAAATTTACACGATTCTAAACGCACGATACGATTAAAAACGCACACGATTGAATCTGATACACGAACGATCTTTCACGTTACACGAACGATCGCTCACGATACACGAACGATTCTACACGATTGGTTTGTCAACAATAACGTTCCAGCCACTGTAAATACTTAATTTAGCTGCTGACCTGCTGACCAGTCACACCCGCCGTAAGTTCCCTGTTATGATCGGGAGATAACAGAAAAAATACGTCGTCAATTCAGTACATAAATAATGGAATAACAATTGGTATGAAAAACGTCAGTCAGCATTTGACTCAATGATACAGTGTATTTGCTGACAAGGTCATTGTATCGACCAAAAAACTTAGAAAACGATGCCTTTTAATGAGACTTCTGATACTCTTGTTTCCTCACCTTGTTTGGCAATAATTTACCTCGTGTTAGAAATTGTTCATACGTAGAGCATGCTCTTGCGTATCGAATTAATTGAGATATATATACACCGTATGCAGGTGATGAAGATATATCAGCAGATTCGTTTAAAGTCATCATTTCGCAAGTTCTATGGTCGATACAATGACCTTGTCAGCAAATACAATTTATTATTAAGTCAAATGCTGACTGACGTTTGTCATACTAATTGTTAGTCCATTATTTATACACCGAAGTGACAACGGATTTTCTCGTTTTTACCTGATCATGACAAGGAGCACACGGCGGGTGTGACCGGTCAGCAGTGGATGCTCACTCCTCCATGGCACCTGATCCCACCTCTGATGTTTCTGAGGTCCGTGTTTGCTCTGCTTCTAATTTGTATGGTTTAATGGACTTGAGATTGAATACTGTTCGTTATCTCCATATACTTATGAAAACTCATTCAATGTGCCAACAATCATTGATGTGGGATTTTATTTCAGATTATTTAAGTTTTTACGGATATGCTCAATTCATAAATTTTTTGATCGCGTACAAATTAAAATTGCGCTTGATCATATTTGACGACAAACATTTTATTTTTTGATTAATTTATGCAAAACTGTTTCCTGCCGTCTTTTGAAACAAAATTAGAATATAATTAATTTTAAAAATGTAATGGGCAATTGAAACTGTCCATTTTATTTCATTGTAAAATAGTAATTGACAATACAGATTAACATTTTCAATATATTTTTTATTCGTTTCATTAATGAAAATATGATGAGCAGGAATTATATAATTATAAGCCGAACAGTGATCTGACGACTCGTGAGGAGTCTACGACTGAAGATCCCCCTGTAAGGAAATTCTGGGCTGATGATGCCACCTCCAGAAATTCGTCATAGCAAATTTCTTTATAATCTGAAATATCCTGATACATTTGAAAAACATCTTGTAGCTCTTTTCCTAGCTCGACCATGAACTGCAAAAGAGCTCGCAAACCGTCGTTGTTACAATAAGCCGAAAGTTTCCTAACGGTGGCAATAACTTCTGACTTCATTTCACTGAAATCAAACATTTATTTAAAAATACAGTAAAATTATTTTAAAGATTATTTTAAGTACAATTGTGTGTGGCTTTTATTTATTATATAATTATAATGCAGGCACGTAGCATCGTATTTGAAAGTGGTGGGGCAGCCAAAGAATTTTTTTTTTACTTACCTGAAAAAGTTGACAAGAAAAGAAAAAAAGGGAAAAATAAAAAATTGCCCATAGTCGAAAATCCTATTTTGTGGGGGAAGGGGGGGGGGGGGTGAGGCCACTTTTTTCTCTATGTCAACTACTTTCAGTACCAATTTTTATCCTACATTTTCCGCACATCACTAATACCGGGGGGGGGGGGGGGGGGGGGGCAACAAATAGACTTTCAATTAACATTTCCTATAAGTATGGTTGTTGGGAAAAGTGGGTTGACCATGCCCCCCTCCCCCCCCCCCCCCCCCCCCCTGTTGCTACGTGCCTAAAAGGTATATAAGAATATAAGGAAATCTTCACCTGCATACGTCTGAATCGTTTCTTCTCATTTTGCCCATCAAACTTAGGCCATCCATCACCAGATCTTCAAAGAACATTTTCTGCACTTTGCCATTGTTCATACAGGCAATCAACTTGTCAAGCCCTGCAAAAAGTTTTGATTACAGTATGTACCTTCAAAGAGATTTTAAATTAGAATTAAATTACAAAACTTACTCTTTACTTTGATTTGAGTATTTACAACATCTTTGTAATATATATCCAACTAATCTCATGCTATGCATGTATATTTCAGTATTTTCAGGTATATTTCTTGAATGAAAAATTGCTTAGTTGTGAATAAATTTTTAAGCAATATGAGCTGCCTATTTGGAAATTTTATTTGGCTGTTAAAATGTGTTCTTATGATAAATTTGTGTGTAACTTAAACCTTTGTGATCAATAAGACTAAAATAAAACAGAAGAAAGACTGTATACAATCTAATATACAGTTTTTTTTATAAGAAATCATTATTGTTCAGGACGACACTTATGCAATTTTTATTCAATCAAAGCTTATAAATAATACTTCCATCGCAAATATGAACTGCAGAATTTGATTAACGTAATTTTTTTTCTGCCATTGAAGTAGTTATTTACAATTTTGCAACAAAATATTCTGACCTGAAAGTTGCAGCTCATATTGCTTTAAATATTAATAATTTGACTGTTTACAGGAAAAAATTTTCACATGGAAATCGTTTACAATAAATTTTTGGATATGAATTTTTTTCTATAAATCCATTTGAAAATTTGCATTATGTTTCCTATATTTTTATTTACAATATATAGAAGCAAAATTCGTGTCATTGTACTGACTTTTAATATGTATTACCTCACTATTCATTAGATGCAATTCTTTTTATTCACCTGTCAAGTTGTGTTTTCGAATTTTTCACTAAAATACCAGACATGTGGTATTACCAATTATATGATAAACTAACTCAGCAAATTTCACTTCTAATGTGAGAAAAGTAGGTAAATATTATATTTTTTCCCTTTGATCAGCTAAGTTCAAAAGAAGAAAACTTAACCCATGCTCATCCCTCCCCTCCCGCCCTCCAATTCATCTTTCAAAAAATGATATTAGAATCATAAGCCTTACTTTTATCCTTGGTACATACGATCCTGTCAAATGCTTCAACAAATTCCTTCACCCTTTTTTGCTCTTTTTTTGGGAGACAGTAGTCTACTCCCCCGGGTACACAAGCCTTGTACATGTCTAAAACACTGTTAAAGAAACGTAAAGTACAAAGTAACCTACCGTATATACTCGGCTATAAGTCGGTATTTTGGGAGTTAAAAATTGGTCTAAAACTCTACATGTATGTCAGACTTATAGGCGAGTCATAAAGAAATTGGTATTTTTCTGGAGGCTGATATGTAGTATTTTATTTGCATTTCTGACGATTATCGAAGAAAATATCTTGATGTATATAATTTATGTATTCTTAGATTATATTTATATAAAGTACAAGTATTTATATATTTTAATAAAATTTAATAATTCTATTTGTATTTTGAATGAGCATTGCCTTTTTGTTTGATAATTTAAGATTAAATATTATAATCATTTCGAAAGATATAAATTGGAACCAGATTAAAACAACAATAGATTTACTTGCAATTGTCGCACGATTTTGGCAAAAATTGGTACCGACTTATAAACGGGTCAACAACAAATCCCACCAAAATAACATCAAAATATACAACGGACTCATAGACGGACCGACATATAGGCGAGTATATACGGTATCAAGTAAGTTTTGTGCTAAATAAATGTGAGAGGAAATATTAAGTTTTGAATTAAGTAATTTGTAAGTGCTAGTAAAATTTAAACTACAATTTCTGTTAAACAGTAACTGTTTGATTTTATTTGAAGGAAAACATTTAGAACAGTGGGGATTAATTGCAAAAGGTCATTTGCTTAATTTAATGGATTTTCATTACAATTTGTTTTTCAAAATGACTCACAAAGATTGAATTAAATGAAGTTGTATCAATTATGTATAATTCGAAAATTGAATCTTACAGAAAATATTGTTTACAATAAAAATTTTCTAGAAGATTGATTGTTTGTATGTTGTTACACGTCCCATTCTGGAATTTTTTCACTTATATGGAGATATGCCAGTGAAAGGCTTCAAATTTTGTTCTTTACTCGGCACGAAACCTAACTGTTAGTTGCCGAGATCATAGTAAAGGAAGAGTTGCTATCCATTTTTTTTTCATCGACTTAGATCAGTCGCTGCCGAAATTCGAACTCGCGAACTTCCAATCATGGATGGAGCGGTCTACATAATGAGCCACCGTGAAAATTGAATATTGTTCAAGTACTATATGTATTTACCCACCTGCATCCAAAGCTAAAAAGTCCAGGTTTAAAGCGAAGTCGATTTCCCTCTGGAGTTCGTATGAAAGTGAGTCTTTCACTGAATTCATAACGAAGATTAACTTTACTCGCCAAACACATTTCAGTAGGACATCGTAATGGAATCCTGGCTATAGAAAAAATAAAGATAAAAGTTAGTATTATACGCGTTTGCTTCGTTTATTTATGCTTCATCTGAGAATTTCCTTTATATCTAGCTTAACTCAAAAGAATCCTACTTTTCGCTGGAGAGAGAGAGAAAGAAAGACGGAGAGAGCGACTCACCTTCATACAAGTCCATGTAGAGTGTTGCAATAAAAACTACAGAGAAAAATCGAAAAGAAATCATTTCTTTGAGAGTTTTTCTATGTCTTCTTGCAATTGGCAGACCTATGTAATTCAACAACTGTTTATTTACCTTTAGATTTTATAGTATATCTACGGTTATTAAACATGGATTGTAATGAGAGAAAGTGGTCTCAGTTGATTGTTTTTCATAATTGGACAATTTGAAGGCATTTGCTGCAACTATAATTTAAGCTTTTATCCACCGCATCAACTTAAAAATGAAATATCTACTTTCATACATAGACTGATGAGAGAAGGATATGGAGATAAGGAAGAGTATTCAATATCAAAGGCCATAAAGCTTTATGATGTATATGTATCTATTTATTTGTAAGTCTAACTTTTGCTGATTCTGAAATGTGTTCAAAGTGCATGGGGGAGCGTCAATTGGACATTGTAAACCCAAGGAATCACCTTATATACATGTTTACATGTATACATGTTTAACTCTTTCATGTTTTATTTATAACAAACACCATCTTTAATGCATGTAAAATGTGTTGGCAGCATACCTCTCCGTTAAAAGTATCTCGAAAACATTTTTTAAAAATATTATTAAAAGCAAATTTCCAACAATCATGAACTGTATTTGACCCTGACGCCAAATAACTTCAATTTCACCAAATTTCTAATTATCATTATTTGAAGTCGTAAATTGGTTTTCAAATTGAAATAAAATGACCCACAATAATTTATGGTTGTACACATCAAACGAAATCCGCTTAATTAGACAGTCATTTTTTCCAAGTAGCTAAACTAAAGAAATAGAAATGGAAATATATCAAAATAGAATCCTATATGTATTTTTTCTCCAAAAATTTTCTGAATTTTTTTCTTTATTTTGGTAATTTCTAATGCAGTTTGTGTCTATGCTGTATATTGTACAGTTATTGCATGATTGTGAGGGAGACATGAAGATTTCTTCGCCCATGAAAAATCAACGCCCGAGAGGAATATGATTTTTCATGGGCGAAGAAATTTTCATTTCTCCCGAACATTCATGCAATAATTTTTTATTATACCGAATCAAGCACAATGCCGGGAATATAAAGCAAAACCATATTTGTGACCTTACTTAAAATAGAGTAAACATTTGATGAGATTAATATGAAACAGGCGAAAGTTACATGTACACCACTATATATATAGTGCTTCATAAAAAAACTCCTTCTTGACAATTCAGTCTGATTTACACAGTAGCAACATTCATTAATTCTCCACTCATTAAAACACTTTTCTAAATATTGATATTTTACAATTTTATACTGACATAATTAATCAAAGATATAAACTGACCAAATTAAGTATTAATTATCAAAGATAATCAAGTGTCTAATTTTTCGATTTTATGGAGTGATTAATCGATTGGCTTGCGTGATAATTTGCATAAACGCCGAGGGCCTTTATGCATAAAATTATCACGCAAGCCAATTGTTTACATGATCATCATTATAAAATCGAAATATCTGAAAGTTATTCTTTATAATTATATGCTCTTGATTCCACCAATCCACGTGCTGCATTTACAAGACCAACTTCCTGTCTGTATCCCCCCCCCCGCCCTGCACATGATTTTTTTCAATCTGACTAAAGCCAGACCTCTATTTACGCTATCGCATAGAGGTAGCGTAAATAGAGGTCTGGCTTTAGTCAGATTGGATTTTTTTCAACCGCGCCTATTGAAGAACCATTACATTTATGTGGAAATATTTTCAATTCTATTTTTTTCTCTGTTATAACACTTTGAACTCACTTTAAAGTTAGCGGAGTTGATTTCTTGATTATTCTACTGGAATGTAAATAAGGTAGGTCGATAGGTCGGCAGCTAAGAAGGCCTAATATGCATGCAAATCTCGTGCAGATCTGTCTCTGTGTCTGACGATAATGAGGCTAGCTAGAAAATCTCGTGCGGCTGTCTTTGTGTTTGACGTCAGTGGGTGAGGACTTTTGAAGTATTGGCATGGGAGTCCTCGTGTAATCTTAATCTTTTTCTACATTTTTAAAGTCTTAATCTACAATTTTATTTATGCAAATTACTAGTATCCCATGTTTGCCAATATTGTTGATGTCCTGGCATACTATACTATCTAGAAAGCGATTCCTGTAAAACTTAATTAAATAACTTTTTGTAATCTTATCTCGGAGAAAAACATTGGAAGGGTTAATATTTCACAATAAAATGGAATTATTAGGAATCACTGTCTAGCTAGTATAGTATGCCAGAGACATCAACAATAGTGGGAAATGTGGCGCAGTCCGTTCTGCGTCACCGTATGCAAGGGAAGAGCCTCGAATTTAGACCTATACGTGTTCTCGGCACTCATGGTCATTGAGCAGTGAGGATTCTTTAATGTGCCAACGCTTACCATGACACGTGACCTACATTTTTAAGGTCATATCCGAAAGACCCATGACTTTCACTTCCACTGCCAAGCACCTGGCGAAGGAAAATCATTACCTATGTTTACGTCTTAGATACGAGGGTTGTTCGAAAAGTTCCTGGATGATGCCAATCGTCGTTATATTACTGACTAAAAATTCAAATTTAGCACATTATAAAACGTAATATATTTGTTTTGTTGATATGTGAAGTTTCATACCATTCGGCTTAACAAAAATCGATTAACTTAATTTTAAAATCAGCATAATTTGTACCCGCAGAGCAAACTTAACGGCAATGTAACGTCAAATGATAGCGTCGAGAATTTTTGAAACCTACTATCATTATACATTTCAAACATATAATTCAATACCCATTTATAAAATCTTTTTTCCAATACTTGACATTTATTCTTTACTGCTCTTCTTGTATTATTTTCTTTGTTAAGGTTTTATTTTCTTTTATTTCGTCACTTTGCTTTCACGGATAAGCAACTCTGAAGCTCCTATGTCGATCTTGACGTTCCAACTTTTTAATTTTTTTGTTCAAATTTTTACAGATAAACCGTATCTTCACAAGTCATTCTCATCTAATACAGAGTTCCTGTCACTGAAATTTTGCCTGTACTATATGGACACAAATGCACAACTCGCTTGTGACATATTTTCTTGATTCCTTCAATTTTTTTTAGTAAAACACAAAATTGCAGCTCCATGCCGTTCTAAAACGTCATTGATTTTGTCGTTTTCATTAAGAACTACCTATCTTCTCAATTTGTTTTTTTTTTTAAAGCAAAATATAAAGCCACAATTTGGTATACGAATCGATGTAACAATTCTTAATACGCTACGTTGTTTTTTTTTTTTTTCGCTACATTTTAAGACGGCTCTCTCACAACATGGTGTATTTCCGTTGAAACGCCATTTTGGTCCCAAATGATCAAATTTAAATTTACTTAACACCGATAAATAACTGAGTATAACACACATGCGATGTTGTGTATGGATTGTAGATTGTACCACCTCAATTGATACAGTTTATTGCCCAAGACGTATATTTTCTATGAAAATTAATTGTTTGTCAACTTATTCAATTTCTAATTAGAGTAAGATTTTCAGGTGAGAAAAAATGATTTAAAAACATGGCTTGACCATATGCTAATTCATCATTACTTGTCAAAACGCCATACACTCCGAAATTTATTTTTTGTTCACTAAACATATAAATTATGCTTTCCAGCAAATTATATCCTCCCCTCCTACTGCAACAAGGCTTATACTTTAATTTGTGTTAAAATTATACAGTGTGTACTTTTATACCTATAAACATTTTGCAAAAACGTTTTTATTTAAATATTTTTGTATATGTATGAAAAAAAAGTCAATGACGTCAAAGATTTGAAATTTTTTGAAGAACCAGGTGAATTGTTATTGAGTAACATTGATTATAGTAGTAATCCACTTAATTTTTGTTTTTACGAAGATTCTTAATTTTGGAGCTTTGATTGATTAATGTAAAATTGTTTCCTGACGTCTTTTGAAAAAAAAATATTATTAATGATAAAAATGTAATGGGCAATTAAAACTATTTTATTTCATTGTAAAATAGTAATTGAAAAAGACTTAACATTTCCAATAATATTTTTTATTCAATCCTTAAATGGAAATATGATGTACAGGAATTACAAGCCGAATATTGATCTGGCGACTCGTGCGGAGTCAACGACTGGAGCTCCCCCTGTAAGGAAATTCTGGGCAGATGACGTCACTTCCAGAAATTCGTCATAGCAAATTTCTGTATACTCCGAAATATCTTGATACATTTGAAAAACATCTTGTAGCTCTTTTCCTAGCTCGGCCATGACCTGCAAAAGAGCTCGCAGACCGTCGTTGTCACAATAAGCCGACAGATTCCTAACGGTGGCAATGACTTCTGACTTCATTTCACTGAAATCAAAAATTCATTTAGAAAAAAAGTAAAATTATTTTAAGGATTATTTCAAAATCAATTGTTTGTGGGCTTTTTTTTTTTTTTTTTTTTTTTTTTTAAAATTAAAAGCTATTCAAAATAATAAGGGACTTCTTTACCTGCATACGTCTGAATCGTTTCTTTTCAGTTTGCCCATCAAAGTAATGCCATCTATCACCAGGTCTTCAAAAAACATTTTCTGCACTTTGTCATTATTCATGCAGGCAATCAACTTGTCTAGCCCTGCAAATAGTTTTGTTTACAGTATGTACCTTCAAACAATTTTTTTTAATTAGAATTTTTAAATATGGTTTTATTTAAATTACTAAAGTTACTCTTTTCTATTATATGAGTATTTATAACATTTTTTTAATATATATTCAATTTATCTCCTGCTGTGTATAATTCCAGTATTTGCAGGCATGCTTTTGAATGTTTTGAGGAAAAATTGCTTGGTTGTGAATATTAATTTTTAAAAGTGGAAGTTGAATGTTTTATAGTACAAATGGGTCATAAGAAAATCGCTTACAATAGAATTTCGGATGTAACTTTTTTCTATAAATGCATTTGAAAATTTTGTTTCCTATATTTTTATTTCATGTTATATAGAAGCAAAATTCGAAATCCAAGTGACATCATTTTACCGAATTTTTATATGTATAACTTTAATTTTGTTATACATTATATGAAAGT